AGGAAAAATAACAATCAAGCAACAAATATATTAAATAGTGTTCTTCATTTACAACTTACTCTTAAAATTGAAGAATATAAAAGCAAGCTTTCTACAAGTAGTGTAACTGGCACTACAAATAAACTTAAGCTAAGAGAAAACTATACCTGTTAGTATATTAGTTTCTTAATGAGACACATTCCTTATATTATAGGGGGAAATCACATTCTGAACTTCACTATGATAATGAAAAGAATGAGTTAGAAGTCATTTTAACCTTACATAAATTACATAATTTCAAAGAACAAGACCTAAGTTCAAAAAGCAGAAATCTAAATCCAATTCTATTAATTTGTCCTTACTTTCAATACCAACTACGAGCTCATACCATTTTGCACTGAAAACCTCAAAGAATTTTCTATTTATCATGCAATAGTACTTGACTTCAAAACTATTTACAAACCATGAAATCAATAGTTTACATTGGTTACATAAATTTTTAATAACTAGCTTATCATTAGTTTGAATCCTCTATAATCACTGATTTTAAACAGTATTTCACTTTAATTTCAAATTTAATTCTTATTCAATTAGAATTTATTTCCATTGAAAGGAAAAGAACACATGTTAAAATGAAAGCTGCATTTTCTACTTTAATAAAGAAATGCAATTCACTTTAAATAAAATTAACTTTTAGAAAATCCACTTGCAGGAGGGCCCTCCCTGGTGGCGCAACAGATTAAAAGTGCAGCACTGTGAAGCTAGCCAGCTGATTCTGCATGAGTTGAATCAGAACAGAACACTCTGCAGTTCTGTATTCATAAATAAATCTTTTAAAAAAAATCCACTTGCAGGCCCTCTCTGATGGCGCTACAGGTTAGGACACAGCACTGCAAGCCAGCTACAACTGCTTCAGTATGAGTTCGATCCCTGGCCCCCGATGTGATTCCCATGGCATGGCAGACCTCTCCTGACCCGGCCACTGCTGCCCTCAGTAGTGCACTTCGTAGGTCTGCCTGTTCTGCTTCCTATTCTGTTTCTGGTGAACCCTACCCTCTCACCACCCTTGCACCTCTGGCCTGTTCCCCAGTTCTATATGCATAAATAAATTAAATCTTAAAAAAAAAAAAATCCAATTGCAGGATACCATAATTAAAACCAGTAGATGTCACTATTACATAATTTTCACTAGTAATTTTGAATTAGTGTTTAAGGAGTAGTATGTAAAAACAACATGTAAAATTAAATATCACCCCTGCTTATACATTTAAATTATTAGTTGTCAGTTGCTACTAAAATGGAAAATAAAAAATAGACTGCTTTGTAATACTCTGGGGGGCAAAAGGAATACACTAATTCAAGACACGTTAAATTCAGACTTAGGAACAGAATTGTTTAATCTACGTTCCAGGCGAACCCAGTTGCTAATATAAGACATTGTCATTTAATTCAAATTAATGGAAATTGGAAGTGTCCTGACAGAAATAACTGTAGTTAAAAATGGAGTTTATAAACTGTTTCAAATGCCTATTGTAAGAGCTATTTTCTAGGATACTATACCTTTGTATAATAACAAAGGCAACACAGAAGTGCAAAATATGGGGTTGGGGGGAAATTTAGCCAATGAAAAAAGAAAGGAAGAAAAGAGTAGAGTAGAAAGGATCATCTGAAACAAAAATTCTTTTCCTTTTCTTTTTAGTCAAATAAACAATAAAAGATAGTACTAATTTTACCAATTAAAATTTTTATGGAATGGGTTTATTATTAACCCATGATCAAATGAATAGGTATAACCACGATACAAACCTGCAGTGGTATGGCCCTGTGGCTTACATTTTTTAACCTCAACTCACAATAATAAAAAGTAAATTCTTAATTATTTTTTTTTATATTACACCCTTACACATTACATGCATACTAAACTGGAACAAATTTTCATAAAACAAAATCTGCCTGCTGGCCCTCCCTGGTGGTGCAATGGGGTAAAGCACAATACTAAGAAGCTTAAACCACTTCCACATGAGTTCGATTCCCGCCTGCCCCGGAGGCAATCCACATGGCTGGCAGACCTGTCCTGACCCGCCCACTGCTCCCCTCAGCAGTGTACTTTCTTGATCTCCCTGTTCTGCTCCCCACTCCGTCTCTGGTGAATTATCTCACCCTCCGCATCTCTGGCCTGTACCCCAGTTCTGTATGAATAAATGAATAAATCTTTAAAAAAAAAAAATCTGCCCTTACTGTATGTAACCCATTGATATTTTCTATTCACTTGGGCAACACACTGAAGTGCTGGGCCCTCCCTGGTGGCGCAGCAGGTTAAAGCACAGCACTAAGAAGCTAAAGCCACTTCAGCATGAGTTTGATCCCTGGTCCCGGAGGTGACCCATATGGCATGGCAGACCTCTCCTGACCCGCCCACTGCTCCCCTCAGCAGTGTCTTTGTCGGTTGGCCTGTTCAGCTCTCCACTCTGTCTCTGATGAATCCTCTCACTGCTCCTGCACCTCTGGCCTGTACCCCAGTTCTGTATGCATAAATAAATAAATCTTAAAAAAAGAACTATACAACTACTAGTAGTTTAGTAATTTCTTATAATTTGCCCTTATTTCCTCAGACCAGTTAGTAAAATGGGCAAATATTTTTATTCAGACAACCTGAGTACAAATCATGAGCCTTGGACAGTCTTAAATATCAGTAAGTGTTTAGCCTTAAATTATGGATCAGATCAAACAGGCCTGGATTCCCTAACACTGTCACCTGAAGTCCTGTGACTTCGACTAAAAGCTATTAATCACCTTTTGCCTCCGTTACCTCATCTACAAACTGACAGCAATAATAACTTTGATAAAATAATCTTAGCAGTAATATATGCAGGCATCACCACTGTGCTTACATTATCACATATACAAAATTATTGATGTCAAAAGTATTAAGGTTTCACTGTAATACCTATTTTTACATGAGAATCAAGAGTTGGCCTAATATATTAAATGAAATGGAGATAGCATTTTTAGAGTTTCTAGCAATTACTACTTCTATATTTATGGAGTCAGCTGACTGAATTAAATGACAAGAACTGAATAGCTTAAGGGAATTTCTGATCAAAGGTTACACAGAGTATGATGGCAATCTCAGAGAGGTCCCCACACATCTGATTATGTGAGGGATTATAAGCAGAGTGCTTTATAGAGGGACACTTAGATCTAACTAATGGGAAAGAACTTAATGAATTCTTGTGAAGGTTCTAATGAGCACCTGATATAAACATAATTCATAATTACAGCTTTTCTTAGTTCTTTCAGTTTACTTGATTAGTACTAGTACTTTCCTATGAAGTTACTTAAAATGATATAGCCAGACTTATACTTACTACTTTCCTATTATATTATTCCTCCTTATGATAAGAATTCCTAAAAAAATTAAAATGAAAGAATTTTACCCTGCAGTTGGTTCTATCATCTATAAAATACATTCTTAATGTTTGACAATCATGGGTTTATTTTATTTTTAAAAGGAAAGAAGACAGTATTTCAGCTTTACCTTTAATAAAGGATGAATTTTTTCTACTGGGAGAGATAAAGGGTTTCTTCGCTTCCTCTTTTCAATAGCCGACTGGGCATCAGCTATTGCCCACTTATCAATCGGATGAGGAAAACTTTTTTGAACACGTTCCTTGGAAAA